AGGGAGCAAAAAAGGACTTGCATATGGTGTCATTGACTTGGAGAAGGCCTATGATAAGATACCGCGGAATTTCATGTGATGGGCCTCGGAGAAACACAAAGTCCCAACAAAGTACATTACCCTCATCAAGGACATGTACGATAATGTTGTGACAAGTGTTCGAACAAGTGATGGTGACATTGATGACTTCCCTATTAAGATAGGACTGCATCAGGTGTCCGCTTTGAGCCCTTATCTTTTTGACTTGGTGATGGATGAGGTCACAAGAGATATACAAGGAGTCATCCCATGGTGTATGCTCTTTGCGGCGATGTGGTGCTAGTTGACGATAGTCGGATGGGGGTAAATAGGAAGCTAGAGTTATGGAGACAAACCTTGGAATCGAAAGGGTTTAGGCTTAGTAGAACTAAAACTGAGTACATGATGTGCGGTTTCAGTACTATTAGGTGTGGGGAGGAGGTTAGCCTTGATGGGCAGGTGGTGCCTCAAAAGGACACCTTTCGATATTTGGGGTCAATGTTGCAGGAGGATGAGGGTATTGATGAAGATGTGAACTATCGAATCAAAGCCAGATGGATGAAGTGACGTCAAGCTTTTGGCATTCTCTGTGACAAGAGAGTGCCACAAAAGCTAAAAGGCAAGTTCTACAGGATAACGGTTCGACCTGCAATGTTGTATGGCGTTGAGTGTTGGCCGACTAAAAGGCGACATGTTCAACAGTTAGGTGTGGCGGAGATGCGTATGTTGAGATGGATGTGTGGCCACACGAGGAAGGATCGAGTACGGAATGATGATATACGAGATAGAATTAGGGTAGCACCAATTGAAGAGAAGCTTGTCCAACATCGTTTGAGATGGTTTGGGCATATTCAGCGCATGCCTCCAGAAGCTCCAGTGCATAGCGGACAGCTAAATCGTGCGGAGAATGTCAAGAGAGATCGGGGTAGACCGAATTTGACATGGAAGGAGTCCATTAAGAGAGACTTGAAAGATTGGAGTATCACCAAAGACCTAGCTATGGACAGGGGTACGTGGAAGCTTGCTATCCATGTGCGAGAGCCATGAGTTGGTTGCGAGATCTTATGGGTTTCACCTCTAGCCTACCCCACCTTGTTTCGAACTACAGGCTTTGTTGTCGTTGTCGTTGTCGTCGTCGTCGTCGTCGTCGTCGTCGTCGTCGTTGTTGTTGTTGTTGTTGTTGTTCACTCACTTCCGTCCTATACAATCTATACCTGCTAATAAAGTACGGAGTGCTTCTGCCCGTCCGACGTCCGTTACACGTTTTACCAAAAAGCCCATGTTGTTTTCTTTAAGCAGCCCACGGTTCAACATTAAGTGCTCTTTATGTGTTGGGCTTCGGCCCAACTTCTGTATCCGCTATCTCGCGTGCATAGGCGCTGGTTACTATTCCGCGCTCAGCTACAATAGGCCCAGTTCGCTATGTTTTCAGCTCGTTTAGGCCCCTAGCTTTATTATTTACAGAGAATATATTAAACATGATCATGCTATAATTTTGCAACCATAACTCAGATTAAAATAATTTGTATATGTAATTTGATCGAAAAAGTGCATAGTTTCCAACCGTGCTATTGTTTGTTCCTGTTAACCACTTTAAAATTCTGTTTAGGACATAACCTTAATTAAACTAAGTAATGTTATGATGTATTTTAAAAAATGCTAACACATAATATAACCTTGATATATATGAAGTATTTCAGGAGGGCCTATATGCATGGGACGGAGTATGAATGATCGGTTTCAATGGGCATATAGGAGTAATAAACAAAGGAGAAAAATAAAATGTGTGATCAGTGGGGATAAAAAAAGGGGAGATTTAGAAAAAATATGAAGGAGAGAATAATGCAAAGGAATTAGTATTAATATCAAGGGCGTGGCATGCATGCAACGCAATAATGAAAAGGAATTAATACCGAGGGGCGTAGGAGGGAATTAATAATGGCATATACACATTGTTTATATCAAAAAATATAAAACATGTTAGGCTGGTCATAGTGGGAGTAACATAGGTAGTAACATAGATACCACATAAGCAAAAATGTTGATGTGGCAAGTAGTTAATGAGGAGAGGGGCAAATAGAGTAACCTAATATGTTACCATCACATAGCGCTTTCCAATGCAAAATGAGTCTACAAGACAGTAAATGAACATGTGTATATTACTACACATATGACACTTCCCACTATAAGAGTAGTAACATAGAGTAGTAACATATGCATATTACTACTCTAAGTTACTCCCCACTATGACCAGCCTTATATTTGTGAACGGAGGTAGTAACATTTAGCTTAACGAGACGTGTGGCGGCCCCTTGACTAATCATAAAATACAGATTTCATTCCTAAACTCTAAAACCATACAAATTACTACCATAAAATACAGGTCTGTTTCTAAACTCTAAAACCATACAATTGCCAGGACCTCACAAGGATGAGGACAGCATGGCTCGCAGACGGAGGAAGAATTTTTGACTACTCCCTCCGGTTGGGTTTATAAGTTTCAGGAGCCTGACCGGCTCAGCAAATAATCATTAGTTACAACACATTTTTGGCAGGCACATTTATGGCGCTGCTATGCACTCGAAGGCACATTCAACCATTCACAACAAGAAAAATGAACTGTGACATGACACTCTCTAATATAGACTCGAATGAAAACAACACCAAAATGTTTGCGGTGGTCCTCTATTTATTGGCACCATATCTGTCTGGCTGATAGCAGCGTCCTTCTTGCCTCATCTGCATACAAGAAACAGTAATCAGCTTCGCTGCGATCGAAAATGGAGTGTTATGGTGCTGCTAGAAGGAGGGTGCGAGAGGGCCGGCCAGGGCCTTTTTGCCCACGGCCGGGCAAGAGGGAAGGGATTTCCTTCTTAATTCTTACTTGATTAGATTGATACATCTCCTCTCTTTATATAGAGAGGTTTACTTGACTCCCAAACAAGGCTTACTTGACACCTAAGCAAGCGACCCTTATCTCTAATTAAACCTAAGACTAACGGGCCCATTAGGCCCATTACGTAGTCTTAACACTACACCCCACCTGGACATGCAGCTTGTCCTCGAGCTGCAGCCTAACCAACTTATAACCATGACACGACGCAACACAAACCTAACACCTAAAAACATGCCTTTTACATCTCGGCATGTTTTATTATTCTCAACCTGAAATGAAGTAGGACGCTTTATTTTGGACCCCTTAACAAAAGGTGGACACCATCCGCACGTCAGACGTGCATGTGTACAGCCACCCGGATCCCATGGACACCACCTGGACAAAAGGAGTGCATGTGTATGACCACCTGGAAGTGGTCGCAAGAGTGACCACCAGAGGCGCCCTCGCGGCGGCCGGTGGCGGAATGCAGTGCTGCTACGCGGTGCGCTGTTGTCGGTGACACCACGCCTTCTCCCTACCAGACGGCTGTTGGTCTGCACCGCACAGGGAAAAGTGGATGGCTTGCGATGGAGAAGGACGAGGAGGGGTGCGCCCCCCCAACCGTCGATGTCGCAGACTTTGAGGTCGTTGCCCGCGGGGAAAACAGCATGCCCGCCGCCCGTGGGGGAAACCGCATGCCCAAGATCCCCGTCGCAACAGATGAGATCGAGGTCCTTTGTGCAGCGAAGGGCAACTTGGAGGAGCGGCAGCTGCAGACCACGCATCTCCCGCACACGCTGACGCGCTAGGAGGCCGCGCGCAGCAGCCTGTAGCCTCATCGCCGCCAACACGTGGCGGGTAGCGATCCAAGACGGAAGCGGTGACGGCGACGACGGGGACTGGACTTGGTGGAGCGAGACTCCCGCCGGCGCGGTCGATGCGGGGCCGGAGCTGACTGGCGGTGGCTGCTGCAGCTGCAGCAGCTGCTGCGGAGCGCCAGGAGCGGCGGCTGCCACTGCAGCCAGGGCTGGGCGGTGGTGGCGATGGATGGCAGCTGCGACGGCTGCTGCAATGGCCCGACGAGCGCGGCGAAGGCCGCCTGGTGCGGCGGCTGCCATGGCAGCCACGGCGGCGCGGGGGCGGCGATGGGCGCTGGAGGCGCGGCGGGAGCCGGCGCCGGCCACGGCGGCCACTGCGGGGCGGCGGCGGCAGCTGCAGCTGGGGCTGTAGTGCCCCAGCGAACGCCCCTGGATGCGGCGAGTACCACGGCAGGGCCGGCGGTCGGCAGCAGAGGTGGCGGCGGCCCGTAGGGGCTGGCCAGGTACAGCCGGATCCCCTGGACGGCTGTGACGAGGTCGTTGAGGACCCCGGTGATCTCCTCCGAGGTGTAGGCGGCTGCCGGTGGTGCGGTGGAGGGCGCCGGCATCTGGGCGGTGGCGGCGCCGAAGGATGCGACCAGCGACGCGGACAGGGAGGGCAGCGGCGCGGTGGTGACGGTCGGCAGCGGAAGCGATGGGGTGGGCGGCGGCGAAGACATGATCGAAACTGAGCTACCTGATACAAAATTGTTATGGTGCTACTAGAAGGAGGACGCGAAGGGCCGGCCGGGGGCCTTTTTGCCCACGGCCGGGCAAGAGGGAAGGGATTTCCTTCTTAATTCTTGCTTGATTAGATTGATACATCTCCTCTCTTTATATAAAGAGGTTTACTTGACTCCCAAGCAAGGCTTACTTGACCCCTAAGTAAGCGACCCTTATCTCTAATTAACCCTAAGACTAATGGGCCCATTAGGCCCATTACGTAGTCTTAACATGGAGAGAAGATAAAACAGAGAGCATAAAACATCCTCCAAGAAGGCTGTTGAATTTCAACCTCTAAATGGATGTTTACACTTTTGACATTACAGGTGGTTTGGGACACAAGAAATATCCTACTCCCTCCGTTTCTAAATATAAGCATTTTTAAAGATTTCAATACGGACTACATACGGATGTATATAGACGTATTTTAGAGTGTAGATTCACTCATTTTGCTCCGTATGTAGTCTGTATTAGAATCTCTAAAAAGGCGGAGGGAGTAGTTACTTATGCAACGAAATATCAACAAATCAATAACCAATCCCACAAAACAGAGAAGCTGATAAAGATTCATGTGACAGACCTGCGATGCTTGCAGCAGAAAAATTGGCAGGTATGTTAGCTTCAGATTCAACGGACGCCTTTGCTACAGCAATCCCAACTGCAACACTTTGCATAATATCCAATCCCCCACATAGAGATGAAAGGAACCCACCAACCAAACAATCACCCGCGCCTGTGAGGCTGACCACAGAGGCAGATGTTGCAGGTAAATGGAAAACACAAGTTCTGGAAGAACCTTCTCTAGACAAATTAACAGGCATGCTGGATAGAGAACATCCCTCCAATTTTTCAAGTAGCTGAGTTGAGAAAGGCGTCACTTTACACCTTTTCTGATCCTTCATGAAGTTGACGTGCTCTCTGCAACATATGAAAACACCATTCGAGCCAAGTGTCACCAGGAGAAGCTTGATGCCCTTTTCGAGAAGAAAAAGCATTGCTGGGCTGAGCATTTCGAACAAATAATCTACAGATTCTGCTTTGTTGTTGCACTGCTCAAGTTTGACAAAGTTGTATTTCCCTGGAGTAGACAGTGCGTTTGCCATGGCAATAAGCTCAATCTCATTCGGGGAAGTGCAAGTTATCTGAATCATCATAGAAAATCAATAAGTAAACTTTAAATATAATGGGAAGAGAAGTGCATTTACCACGTAACTCTTGCCCGGACTCCCTAAAACTACTTGAACTACAAACCCATCCAACTACCAAAATGCGAAACCAAAACTTTGGTTGGTTGGTTAAACATCGGTGACTGCTGCCGTGTTGGAAACACCATCACTGACTTTTTTCTGAGTAGACAGCCACATCACTGATTTTTTTCTGAGTAGACAGCAACATCACCGAATTTTGCCATCTAGATATCAAAACAACACGGTCCCAAATCACCTTCGTCCGCTTTCTACATGTGTCCCTACTAGTTCAAAACGATACTCTCTCTCTCTCTCTCTCTCTCTCTCTCTCTCTCTCTCCTCTCTAAGGGCTTGTTCGGTTGAGGTGGAATTGAAGGGGATTGAGGGGGAATTAATCCCCTACAAGCCAAAATCCCTGCAAATCCCCCCCAATCCACCTAGGGATGGGATTAACCGAACAAAGCCTAATGGTATTTGTGGTTTACCTCTAAGACTCATATATACACACATTTCTTACCCATGAAATTTGAACAGTCATGCCGATCTGCACTTGTTCTAATGGTTGGAGGGTGCAAAGTAAACAGTTTTGGAATCAAGGGGGTGCTTTCTCGAATCAGCCAAGGGGATAATTCTTCCCATATACAAACTAAAAAATGCTTACTCAATCATTTGCACTCACATGTTCCGCAATTGGTGCGATTCTTGAACTTTTTACCACCGAGACAGGCTCAAATAACACAGGCACCCCTGATTCATATGCTACTGAAACAAATAACACAATATAGTGTTTATCACTAACTTTTGACCCTACTCCAAAAAATACGATAAGAAAAAAATAACACCGGTAATAATTGGGACATTCAAGTTAAACTTCTTGGGGGAAGCTCCTCAAAAAATATGTTAAGAAGGGAGATAGGAGTTCACAAGTATACTAAAAGGTAATGTAGTGCAACAACAATGCCTTTATATAAGAAAACAGTCACTCCATGTTAATACAGAGCGCATTTTGTTTGCACACAGATTAAGAAACATTTAAAGTAACTAGACCGGAGGATAAAAAGGACACCCTTCACATAAAAGTGCATGCAGGAATAGAGCTCGGGCATGTAGACACTTGAAGGCATGCAATGGAGAGAGATACTTAAGCTCATTGGAAGTTGGGTCACTTCATGGTACACCATGAGGGGGAAATGCATTAGAGGGCAGAATGAGTAACCAAAACATTCTGGTGGCTTACAAAAAATGCAGCTGGAAACTATGCGACCTGTAATTTGAAATGGAGAAAGTACTAAAGACCAAGATTTCAGTTGTCGACGACCCCATTTGACCCTAAATTTATCAAATTAGGTTTTGAATTTGAATTTTGAAAGAAAATATCAGTTAGCTTCAATACATCGAATAAGTGCAAATTTAGTTTGAAAAATCCCCACAAACTTCTGATAATCTTCGGTTACCACTGGTAACCATTATTCTTGGTCTCAAAACTGCCATTTGTTATGGTTAATAAAATTTACTCTATCCAGTATCCAACATACACATGCATACAAAAACTAAATAAGTTATCGCCTCCAGAAGATAATAAAAAGAGTAACAACTTACCTTTGCAAGCGGCTTGAAGTGACTCAGGAGATAAATTGGCATCAAGCATTAGTAGAGGTGCAGTGGAGATGCGGCGGTAGAACTGATATATCCAGCTAGGGGTAAGAAAAGTTTCCTGCCCCAAGAAAAAAGAGATAAATATAGTGGTAATTAGCAAACAGCCAAACACTAATGTTCAATGGAAGGAAACAGTACACATTTCGTTGAATAATTCTTACAACTGCTTGCACACTCGCGACACCAGCAAATAATTCTCCATTCCCATCAAATACATTTGATACTACTGGGGTTGTAATATCAGGAACCTGCAGTATTCCTACTTAAGTGCTGTGAGATAATGTTAGCTAATAGAAAATAACTAAAGATCATTTAAAGGGAAAAAAAGAAAATGAAAAAACCTTGACAATTCATGAACAGCATTCACAGTGAAATGATAAATTAAGATGTTTCTATAAAGTTATTTCAAAAAAAAGATGTTTCTATAAAGAAGATGTCATATTATCACAAGAACAATTGAGACCCTCAAGTTGCTGCAAGAGAATTGAAGGTCTTGTCCTAAAAACTGCAAGGAGATCTTCGAAAGACTTAGTATTAGCCAAGTAGTTAATTTATTATCGCTTGATTGAGGCAATTATTTAACAGAATGATTTCTTCATTCAATATTAGGGCCCATCCCGAGCTTTCTCAACAAAACATTATTTTACTCCCTGCGCTGTTTCAGAAAGGATGCTCCAGAGCCCGTGTTGTGTCTTTTTACAATTTGACCATCGCTAGCTTACTATCTACATATTTATACCGGATATACAAAGGTCACAATACTAAATTTGTTGTGGACAGAAGTTTCACAACATTATAATTTTATTCAATTATACACATAAAATTCCCCTAAAAAAATACTCCCTCCGATCCATATTACTAAAGGAGCATAAATTAATATGGATTGGAGTAGTCAAAATAATATATTGGAGACCAAGAAAAGAGCCGCATAATTTTCAAAAGAGCCAAGGGAGCAATACATAATTATCACAAACAAAGTTAACAGCCTGGTCTAAAGATCATTTCACTTATCATTTAGGTGTAGTCCAAACACATAGTTTAGTCAGTTAAAACTTTTTATTTAGCTGATTATAACCAAGTGCAATTTTTTTAATTCTTTAAAGTTCACAGAAAACCCATAGAACTTTATTTTGCCTCAAAGGGGTTACATTCAGTTATCAACAAATAGGAAGGTAACTCACATGTTATGTACTCTTAATTTGCAGCATTTAACCAGTTTGTACCCTTTGATAGATTGCACAATATCTGACATATTGCTTACATGCTCAATACAGTATGTTGTAGTGAGATGGGTACATGTGAAAGTGCATTTAGTCCCCCTATTAACTTTTGGTTATTAATGACAAGACAATTAAGAGGACTATTGGTTTATCAAGTTCAGTTCAGGACTTGGTCCATTTTGATGTGAAAACATCAACAGTGACCCCTATTTTTTGCCCTGACAAGTGGTTGTTTCTTTACGCTCTTGGTTTGTAATTTCTAGTTTTTTTAGTGGATCCATGATTCAGATTGAGTTTAAGGACAATTGTACTATCAAGAGGAGTGCAAGCAAATAGCTAGGGATGAATCATATCTCAAGATCCACAACAAAATCCCCAAGTTTTCCACTCCAAACACTTCATTCCTCCAACTTTCCTACGTCCCGATACCTCCGAGTATTCCTACTTGGTACTACCAAGCCAGTGAGTTGTAAGTGATGCTGATGGGCAAACTCAGTTCTCTAAGTGTTTCCCAGGACAATCGAGATTTTTTCCGGGTACCACTGAGCTTTTGTCCTACCAAGTGTATCTCTGTTAGCTCTGGTATCTCCGAGCTTAACCTTGTCTAGCAATTACGAGCACCTCTCATTTGCTTAAGGCACAGCGTCTCGGTATAGGTCCGGTATTTCCAAGCCAAATCTTTCTGGCATTTCCAAGCTGAGACTTGGCCGTTTCTGCACCATTCCATTCCAGGGCTTCCTCTATTGACCCCGGCACTTCCGAGAATTATCATTTCCGTACCTCTGACCAAGTTGATCCTTCATGCAGAAATGAACTACTCCACTGTCCAGTACCTCTGTGTCTTTTGCATTCGGTACCCCCAGGTATTTGGATTTTCAAGAGGGTTAGTCGACAGCCAGTACTTCCGAGTGCCAGGCACCTCCAAGTAAAGTCATTTTTCGCACCTCGCCGTTCAAATTTTGAACGAGTCCAGTACTGCCAGGTTTTCTGTTTGGTGCTACTGAGCAAGTTGTACGCTATTGTGCAACGGTCGGATTTCTGCTTTTTTCTATACTCCCTCCGTTTTTGTATGCAAGGCCATTATCTCGTTTTTCAGATACCAAGAAAACAAAACCAACTAAGAAATAGCAGGATTAACTGTGTGGAAAACCTCTCGTGTTCTGGGCTAATTAAACATGTGCATGTGGTGCCTCTTTCTCTATGGCTGCATGCAACGTTTGCATTAGTAAGCACCATCATACAAGGCAAAAATCAAATCAATTCTTCTCGGGAAGAGATAGTGGTATTATATAGATGCAAATTGCATTTTGATAGTGGCCTTGTAGTTAAAACCAGAGGGAGTAATACAGACGCCCACACCACTGAGTGGGCAATCATTTTTTGAGCGAGTTTCAGAGGGTTTGAAGGCAGAACTCCACCACCTCTTGGACCCCTTAGTGCTCCATCTCTCTTTGCTCCATCATTTGATTCTTAGTGAGAGAGACCCTATGGATTCTTGAGAGAGTTGAAAGAAGATCTTTTGAGTTCATGCAAGTGACTGCCCTTTGCTTGTTACTCTTGGAGGGTGTGCGCCTCCTAGACGATTAGGAGTCACCTGATAGCCTTCAAGGTGTGAAGGAATCAAGAGTTTGTAGAAGGCCTAGTGATTGCCTTCTCCGTGAAGATCAACCCCGGGTTAGGCTTTGACCTTCGTAGTATCAAGCCATGGTGACATAGGTGGCAAGAGACTTCGTGGGACCTTAGTGGTCGACCTTGCCGAGGCCTTGGTGTGGCTTAGGAATTTGTGTTTGAACCTTTACCAACGAGGAGTAGGATTGCATCAACAATCTGAACCTCAAGAAACCATCGTTGTGTTTGATGTGTTTGCAATATCTTTTCCCTTACACCTAGTTACTTGCAATTTTCGGTTCCACACTCTTATCTTGTGGTAGACTTGTTGTGTAGGCTCCCCTAGGCAACCTTGGTAGAGAAGTTTTAACTTGATCGCTTAAATTGCGCGTAGATTTTATAAGGTCTATTCACCCCCTTCTAGACCATAAACTCGACCCTACAACACGACTAACACAGAATTTGGCATAGGGTGGTTGTGAGCTATTTGATCACCGCGGTGGGGCGGGCGTGGGGGTGCTTTTCTAGTCCCACTGTAGAGTTTTAATTTTGGTTTGTACCAAACTGTAGTTAGAGTTTTAATTTTGGTTTGTACCAAACTGTAGGCCTGTACCATTGCATCACAAATAAGCACAGAGCAAATTGCCAAACAGCATTAAGCCAGTGGAGAACCAGGAACTAATTGTAAAGGAAAATATTCAACATATTAGCAACATACAAAATAAACATTACAACTGGGTTTACCAACACCCTGAAAATGCATACAAATATATGATGTGATATCACGATCAGTACGGAAAGATAGATAACTTCACACTTACCATCTGTACATAGTCCAGCTAACTTCCAGTACTTCAATAGAAAATTCCCTTTAACAGAATTAATGAAAATTATTGGATCAAATTTTAACTCAAGGCAGGAAAAAGGAAGAGTATTCTGACATGAGTACATTTATTTATTAGAAAAACTAGGTCAACATAAGTACGTTATACCTGCCATATCATCTCCAATGGCACTAATCATGAGTGGTTGAGTCCCAAGCTTAGCCATGCACTCAGCAATATTTCTAGCTACTCCCCCACCGATGTACTTAACCTATGAAGTTCAAATACATCATCAAATGGTATTGGCTCAAACTTTTCTTGTTATATGACCGAAATAATGCAAGCTCGCAAGCTATATGCCTCGACCTAAGGATGAATAACATGCATATAATATCAACCAAAATAGATAGGAGTTCAAAATAATTACACATAAACAATAACAAGGATGAAGTCTTTTACTAATAAAAGATCAAATATGACAGAACATGTAGTTTTTATGGACTAAGTGTTGGAATTTGCTAGTGGGCTTTTGGCCCAAAGCCCAACTAAAATTCTGAAATTCTCTTGGCCCATTCATGCACACATGTGAGTGGAGTGAGTGAGGCTAAAGTTTAGTCCCACCTCATAAGTTGAGAGAGAGTTGCACCTCTTTATAAGGTGAGCTCTTCTACCACTTGTATGAGCATGAGAAGAGGAGACCTACACGCGCGCGCCTCCTCCTCGCTCGCCTCGTCACGACGCGCCGCAGGTTGCGGGATTGAGCCGAGCCGAGGACAGAGCTATGCACGTTGTCTATATTTTTGCTGCTCGGGAAAAATTAATGAGTCATTAATTAATAGTTAACGGACGTGTTAATTACGGAACCGTTTCCGATTCTTTTGGATCGTGACGACTCGGACGTGGGGTTTACTCCCACGACCTACCCGGCCCGCACTATATAGTCAGGCAGACGTCTACCCTAGCCGCTGCCGCTTCATATGGTTTCTCACCACCGTTCCAGATCATTGTGCCGCCAAGCAAGTCTTATCCATCCCTCCTTTCGGCGTGCACCGGGAGAAGAGACAGCAGGCCTCCGGAACCCCGCCTCTCGTGATCCTGTACGGGAGAGGGGCGATCAGGTTTTTGGGGAGGGCACTCGCGCGACTCCTGGCAGCGACGACTTCGCGAACGACGACTTCTTCCCCGACCTTGGCAACCTCATCCTCGACGACATGGGCGACAACGTCAACGCCGGCGGTGCTGCTCCCGCTGCACCGTATGTGATTCTATCTTTGCTGTTCGAGATCGTGGTAGAATTCATGTTTCTAGTATGTGCCCTAGATGTGATCTGTTCATCTGCTATGCTAGTTCGCATGATTAGTTCAATCTCTGCTACTGTAGTCATGATTTATCTTCTGTTTATTCGGATTAAATCTCGTAGTAATTTGCTCATATTTCCAACAATCCAAAAACCTGATTATAGGCAATTTGCTCCGAGTGGTTTTGCTGCGCATCTGAAGCCGCCTGCCTTTAAGGGGGCGCAATATAAGAGGTGGCGCACGAGAGCAGTCTACTAGTTTCAGACCATGGGCTGCTATCACGCCACCAAGGGCAAGCCTAAGGGCGATCTTAATCCAGCACAGCTGGAAACTTTTGAGAAGATCGATACTCTCTTTAAAGGCGCTCTTCTGGGTGTTCTTGATGACTCCATTGTGGACTCGTATATGTCGTTTGACAACGGCAAGGACATGTGGGCTGCGCTCGAGGCCAAGTTTGGTGCCTCGGACGCCGGCAGCGAGTTGTACGTCATGGAGCAATTTTATGACTAGAAGATGACTGATGAGCGCTCTGTTGTACAGCAGGCTCATGAGATACAGTCGCTCGTAAAAGAACTTGAGTACTTCAAGTGTGTGTTGCTAGACAAATTTGTTGCCGGAGGCATCATTGCCAAGCTTCCACCTTCGTGGAACAATTTTGCTACTTCCCTGAAACACAAGAGACAAGAGTTTTCCGTTGCGGATCTCATTGGTACTCTTGATGTTGAAGAGAAGGCGAGAGCAAAGGACACACGTGCTCGAGTTGCTGAGGGAGCTTCTAGTGCCCACATGGTACAGAAGAACTTCCAGCCCAACAAGTTCAAAAACAACAAGAACAAAACTCAGGGCAAAGGCAAGTTTGATACAAAGAACAAGCCATCGCATCCTACCAACTTCAAAAAGAATTCTCACAAGAAGGGGAAGGGACTTTGCCATGTCTACGGTGATCCTAATCACTGGGCTCCGAAGTGTCCTAACCGCTTTGAGGAGCGCGAACATGAGAAGAGCGGCAGGTCCGCTAATGTTGTCATCGGTGATACTGATATGAAGGAATCTGGGTACGGTATTCTTCCTACCATCCTTTCAGTATTTCAATCTCCTGATTGGTTAATTGACACCGGTGCCAATGTACACGTTTGTGCTGACGCCTCAATGTTTTCTTCTTACCAGGTCACAGGGACTTCTCCCGTGTTGATGGGGAACGGGTCACATGCCATCGTTCGAGGTGTCGGTACGGTCGATCTGATGTTCACTTCCGGCAAGACCGTGCGTCTGAAGAACGTTCATCATGTGTCTTCCATCAATAAAAATCTCGTTAGCGGTTCCCGTTTATGTCGAGATGGTTTTAAGTTGGTTTTTGAGTCCAATAAAGTTGTAATTTCCAAGTGTGGACAATTTGTTGGAAAAGGCTATGAGTGCGGAGGCTTGCTCCGCCTATCTTTGTCAGATATTTGCACTAAAGTAATTAATAATGTTTGCCACAATAATGAGTCGGATATTGGGCATTCACGACTTTGTCATATTAACTTTGGTTGCATGACGCGGCTAGCCAATATGAATTTAATTCCGAAAATCCCTACTGTCAAAGGCTCCAGGTGCCAAGTATGTGTGCAAGCTAAGCAACCTCGGAAGTCCCATAAGACTGCAGAGGCAAGAGACTTGGCACCACTAGAGCTTATACATTCTGATCTTTGTGAGATGAATGGCGTGTTGACGAAAGGTGGAAAGAGATATTTGATGACGTTGATTGACGACTCCACTAGATATTGTTATGTATATCTTCTGAAATCAAAAGATGAGGCTTTAACTTTCTTCAAAAACTATAAAGCTGAAGCGGAGAACCAACTTGACCGGAAAATTAAACGGCTAAGGTCCGATCGTGGTGGAGAGTATTTTTCCAACGAATTTGACTTGTTTTGTGCGGAACATGGTATAATCCATGAGAGGACGCCTCCCTACTCACCTCAGTCTAATGGGGTGGCCGAAAGAAAGAACCGAACTCTAACTGATTTGGTTAACGCCATGTTAGACACATCGGATCTTTCCAAGGAATGGTGGGGGGAGGCGCTAATGACTGCATGTCATGTCCTAAACCGAGTTCCCACAAAGCATAAGACCATGACTCCATTTGAGGAATGGGAAAGGAAAAGGTTAAAACTCTCTTACCTACGTTCTTGGGGTTGTTTGGCGAAAGTCAATATACCAATTCCCAAGAAGCGCAAGCTTGGACCAAAAACCATGGATTGTGTTCTTCTGGGCTATGCTTTTCATAGCATTGGCTATAGATTTTTGATAATAAAATCTGAGGTATCCGACATGCATGTTGGTACGATTATGGAGTCTAATGATGCAACTTTCTTTGAGGACATATTTCCTATGAAGGATATGTCGAGTTCATCAAATCAGGAGATACCTACTCCATCTAGTGAGGAACTCACTGTAATTCCTGAACCCACCATTGCGATGGAACACATTGAGAATCCTGTTGAGGGTGACAATGAAACTCCTGTAAGGAGTAAGAGACAGAGGACTGCAAAGTCCTTTGATGATGATTTCATTGCGTATCTTGTGGATGACACACCCAAGACTATTTCAGAAGCCTATGCATCTCCTGATGCTGACTACTGGAAGGAAGCTGTTCATAGCAAGATGGATTCCATCTTAGCTAACGGAACCTGGGAGATCATTGACCGTCCTTATGGGTGCAAACCTGTAGGATGTAAGTGGGTGTTCAAGAAGAAGCTTAGACCTGATGGTACGACTGAAAAGTACAAGGCACGGCTTGTGGCTAAGAGTTATACCCAGAAAGAAGGTGAAGACTTCTTTGATACTTACTCACCCGTGGCTAGACTAACCACAATTCGGGTGCTACTATCACTGGCTGCATCACATGGTCTTCTCGTTCATCAAATGGACGTTAAGACGGCTTTCCTCAATGGAGAGTTGAAGAAGGAAATTTACATGGATCAGCTAGATGGTTTTGTAGTACCTGGTCAGGAAGGAAAGGTGTGCAAGTTATTAAAGTCTTTATATGGCCTTAAACAAGCTCCTAAGGAGTGGCATGAGAAGTTCGAAAGAACATTAACTGCTGCCGGCTTTGTAGTAAACGATGGTGACAAGTGTGTGTACTATCGCCATGGTGGGGGCGAAGGAGTTATTCTTTGTCTGTATGTCGACGACATATTGATCTTTGGAACCAAACTTGATTTAATCAAGGAGGTTAAGGATTTCTTATCTCGCTGTTTTGAGATGAAGGATCTAGGAGTAGCTGATATTATCTTAAACATCAAGTTGTTGAGAGATGAGAATGGTGGGATCACACTGCTTCAGTCTCACTATGTGGAAAAGGTCTTGAGTCGTTTTGGGTATAGCGACTGCACGCCTTCTCCAACTCCATATGATGCTAGTGTGTTGCTTCGAAAGAATAGAAGGATTGCTAGAGATCAACTGAGGTATTCTCAGATTATTGGCTCGCTTATGTATTTGGCGAGTGCCACGAGGCCTGACATCTCGTTTGCTGTGAGCAAGCTGAGTCGGTTTGTGTCAAAACCGGGAGATGATCATTGGCGTGCGCTTGAGAGAGTTATGCGCTACTTGAAGAGCACTGCGAGCTATGGGATTCACTACACCGGGTATCCAAGGGTACTGGAGGGTTATAGTGACTCGAACTGGATATATGATGCTGATGAGATTAAGGCCACAAGTGGTTATGTTTTTACACTTGGTGGTGGCGCTGTTTCCTGGAAGTTTTGCAAGCAGACCATCTTAACGAGGTCAACTATGAAAGCAGAACTCACAGCATTAGACACTGCCACTGTTGAAGCAGAGTGGCTTCGTGAGCTATTGGTGGACTTACCTATGGTTGAAAAACCAATAGCCCCTATCCTGATGAACTGTGATAATCAAACTGTGATCGTCAAGATAAACAGTTCTAAGGACAATATGAAGTCCTCAAGGCATGTGAAGAGGAGACTAAAATCTGTCAGAAAATTGAGGAACCCCGGAGTTATTACGTTGGATTATATCCAAACAACGAAAAACTTGGCAGATCCCTTCACAAAGGGTTTATCACGTAATGTGATAGATAATGCATCAATGGGGATGGACTTGAGACCCACTGCATGAGTTGTCCATAGTGGTAACCCACTCTATGTGATCGGAGATCCCGTGAAGTAGAAGTGGGAGACAAGCTGTTGGTCAGCTGAGAGGAAAGTATCCCTATTTTAATTATCCCACTCCGTGAAGATGCAATACTCTCCTGATCTGCATGGCAGGTTGATATTTATCTTAATGTGTTCCAAGTGGCTTATTTGAGTAAGCAGAGATGTTGTCCTGCAGAGCATCTTCTAAGGAACACACCTATATGAATTTGACTGTTAATGTCGCAGTCTGTGAGAATTGGGTGTTCTCTAATAAATTCATGAAAGGCCCTGGAGTATGACGTATACGCTCCACCCGCGGGGAAGCCTTGCGGCAGCCCAGTATCGGTCAAGAATTTGTGTGAAACTAGTTTCGCGGAAAACTTGTAGTTCAAGGCATAGTCCACTATTCAAGTTGTGATCTAGTGTAGCATAAAACTCTAAGTGGAAGTTCAACTTCACAGTCTCCACTAAGCACCGGTATATAAACAATGTTTTGAAACCAAATGGTGAAATGTGCCAATGAGACTTTGTGGGGGATTGTTGGAATTTGCTAGTGAGCTTTTGGCCCAAAGCCCAACTAAATTTCTGAAATTCTCTTGGCCCATTCATGCACACATGTGAGTGGAGTGAGTGAGGCTAAAGTTTAGTCCCACCTCATAAGTTGAGAGAGAGTTGCGCCTCTTTATAAGGTGAGCTCTTCTACCACTTGTATGAGCATGAGAAGAGGAGACCTACACGCGCGCTCCTCCTCCTCGCTCGCCTCGCCACGCCACGCCTCGTCACGACGCGCCGCGGGTTGCGGGATTGAGCCGAGCCGAGGACAGAGCTATGCACGTTGTCTATACTTTTGCTGCTCGGGAAGAATTAATGAGTCATTAATCAATAACTAAAGGACGCGTTAATTACTGAACCGTTTCTGATTCTTTTGGATCGTGACGACTCGGACGTGGGGTTTACTCCCACGACCTACCCGGCCCGCACTATATAGTCAGGCAGACGTCTACCCTAGCCGTTGCCGCTTCGTATGGTTTCTCACCACCGTTCCAGATCATTGCGCCGCCAAGCAAGTCTTCTCCATCCCTCCTTTCGGCGTGCACCGGGAGAAGGGACAGCAGGCCTCCGGAACCCCGCCTCTCGTGATCCTGTACGGGAGAGGGGCGATCAGGTTTTTGGGGAGCGCACTCGCGCGACTGCCGGCAGCGACGACTTCGCGAACGACGACTTCTTCCCCGACCTCGGCAACCTCATCCTCGACGACATGGGCGACAACGTCAACGCCGGCGGTGCTGCTCCCGCTGCACCGTATGTGATTCTATCTTTGCTGTTCGAGATCGTGGTAGAATTCATGTTTCTAGTATGTGCCCTAGATGTGATCTGTTCATCTGCTATGCTAGTTCGCATGATTAGTTCAATCTCTGCTACTGTAGTCATGATTTATCTTCTGTTTATTCGGATTAAATCTCGTAGTAATTTGCTCATATTTCCAACACTAAGTTGGGGTAAAATTATCTGCAGATGCTAATACCACTCATGGTCGGCAGAAGTTCGGCCAAAAATCACGAAATCAACCAGTTCGGTTGGTCACTAGAAAATGGTTAATTTTAGCTAATAAAATCACTCTAATTTGGAAATCTAGGGTTAAGAAATCAGTGGAAAAGTATTGTCTTCGGTCGGGGCAAAATATGTTTCGGAACCAAAAATCGTTTTGCCTGATCAGACGAGGAATCTTGAGGTTTACCAAGTTTACGTTTAGCACAACAACCAGACTAAAAGTGTGAAAGTAGAGACTTTTGCGATGGATCCTTGAAAACTCAAGCCCATAGTAAGAATATGTGAGGGGGTATATCCTAGCAAAGCCTACTTGAATTAGGCTACTGGTCATGGCTGATCCAAACGTCGCACCGCACGCTTACACCTCGCATCATTCAATCCAGCAAAATATCATGTGATCCAAGCTATCAATTGGTGAAAATGAGGAATATGTTTTAAAGCAAGATGGTGATTTACCATCCCAGGAACGGTGGTGCCAGGATGTGGCGGCACGGATGGCTTCGCGTGGATGTCCAGCACCATTCCGCCGATGATCACCGGGCTCTGTCCTGCCTCCGGGGCGCTTAGCTGATTCTGAGCACGAAATGGGACCGATTAAGCAAGACATGACACATGATACGAGTGAGTTAGGAGGGGACTTAGTGGGATGGCAGGCTGGGGCCTCTAAGAGATAGCTCGTACCAGGCTAAGGACGGGCGGCGGCCGAGGGAGGAGATGGCGGCGGACGGCCTCCATCCTCCGGCGGGAAGACGAGGCGGCGGCGTCGGTCATGGTGACGGCCGAAGGCGTCGAGATGAAATTTCGGGCCGTGGGGAGTGGACGGGGAATTGGGAATAACTGGACGATGAAATTGCAAAGGTACGTCTGTGGGGCGTTTGGCAGCCTCCATTCTCCTCAAGCAATGCGAGCTCGCGCGCGTTCCGTAAAAACAGTAGGAGGAATTGGGTCACCTCCCGTCGAATCGGTCATCCTATTTACCCCTTCGGCTCGTTGCCAGAACCCCCGCCATCATCTCCCTCCCCCTTTGAATTCTCTGTCCAATTCAGATTCTTCACCGACGAGAAGGTAAGCAGAGCATCTTCTCTGATCGGTTGTAGAAGGCGACGACGATTTGTCTTCCTGCTCTTCTCCGACACCTTCATGATTTTGTTGGAGACAAAGCACTACCAAGGCCACACTACCGTTAGCTCACATACCACTGGTTGAACTTGTTTAGCTTCTCTAACATGCCAAATACGACTAACAACATTGTGTTTCTTCGTTAGGTCCACCCCAAGGATGCTAAGTTCCTCATCACTTTCATCCAGAACTACTCGAAGATGCAGCAGATCTTCTCGGCTGGCTACCGGCAAGCATGATATGGGCTCCAGCGAGCATCTCAGTTCACCTATGCCTACACCTGAGTATCCAGATACCCACGAGTCTGAGACCAACATCCTTGAATGGTCATGAGAAGGTTGTTGACCATGTTCCTGTTCTTGAGAGGAAGAGGAAGAGCGGTGGCTTGATGGATGAGGAGTCGAGCGTCTTTAGCAGCATGACTGAGGCTGTCAAGGAAGTGTCAACTGCCATCAGGGAGAGCAAGACCGTCGACGCTCACCCTTCCCTCTACAGTTCCGTCATGGAGATGGGTAGCTTCGGTCAGGAGGCTCTGATGGCAGCTCTTAGCCACCGACTGAACATCATGGCGCGGGGGCTTAGGTTCGTTGGCATATGTGTGTGTGTGGGGAGGGGGGGGATCACAAGGTGCTCTATCTTAGGACATTGTTGGGCTAGCACTACTACTATTGTTGCTTATGGTGGTGGTGATAGGGTGCATGATGATGACAGATGACACCGACGATGATGATGTACATTTTATGGTATATAGGGTTTAAAAACGTTGTTGGCCTATATATTTTTATGAGGTGGTATATACTAACCCCTCGTACCCATGATAAACTAATAGGATTACACCATCTTTAAAATATGGTGGTAGGATGACATCATAGTAGTTAGGACGAACTTGTTCTGCCTTTTGGGGTATAAGATTATGCATGCCTGTGTTGTTTCTGTTTCATATGTTGTGTTCATTTGCTTGCTGCTTAATTGTTGCTTTTTTATCATGCTAGATGAAGTGGTATGTGGTGTACATAGGAAGAGTTCTAAGAGTTTACAGTTTATGGGTTATAGCACACATGTCATGAACAAGTGACCTATTACAAAGACAACTACTTCGAAAGTTTTATGACCAGGCGAAAGGCAGAGGATGCCTAGTTCGACTTTATCCTCTCCTGGTCAGTTTGGGCGGCGTGAGATGAAGACATCGTCATCATTCAATTCGTCCTGATTGTAGTGTCATTTTATTGGCGTGATGCTTTCATGCAGATGGGCCATATGTAAGCTACTCCCTCCGTCCCATAATGTAAGACTTTTTTGACAGTCAAAAAACGTCTTACATTACGGGACGGAGGGAGTACCAAACTATGTGCACAACATGGTTTTCTACCTGCATTATGTAACACCCCGGTGTAATGATGCTACAGTAACCCCTGGGGTTAAGTTATTCTTTTTGCTAAACAAGTGTTCGATCATAATTGTCTCCTTTCTCTTTTAAATTCCAGTTGAATTCAATTTAATGTTATGAGTAAAATTCAAAATGCTCAGACATGAACACAAAAATGTTCATCATGTGCCAAATAATCCACAACTAATATTGGTGGTGAACCAACATTTTTTGCAAAAGGTTTAAGTGACCTGAGCTACTTAAAGCAGTGACCTAAGCAATAAATTAAATGCCCTTTTTGATTTATAAAATTGGCAACTATTCCAAAAGCCACCCAACCTTTTTAAGGCAGTGCACTTTAATTCTTTGAGTTTGTTTTGGCCAGTGGCATAATTTTGCAAAGTCAATTGTGGCAAAAGAAAAATGCAAAAGCTGCTGGAAAAGAAAAAAAAAGGAAAGGAAAGAAGAAGGGGTGGGAGAGCCCCTGGCCTCCCCTTGGGCTTCGGCCCATCCCAGCAGGCCGGCCCACCTCACCAGCCTAGCCGGCCCAGCTCCCCGAAGCGCGCCCCCCTTCCTGTTCCCCTGGTGCGCGCCGCTACAGGGGCGCGACGCCGCCCGACCACCTCGCCGGCAATGCCGCGGGTGGATAAGGGCCCCTCCCCTCGACGCCTCGACCTCCTCCCCACCTACCTCCACCCACTTCCCTGCTCGCCCCCTCCGCCTCTCCCACTCCCCTCCGGATTCCCCCTCGAGCACTCCCCTCTCTCGGACCCGAGCGCGCTCGCCGCCGTGCCTCGGCTGTCCTCGCGGCCACCGAGCCCCATTCGCCTCGCCATCGAGCCCATCGTCTCCGCCGCCGTCGTCTACCCAGTCCCCGTCCGTGAGCGCGAGCCGGGAGCCACTACGGGGAGCGGATCGAGCAGCCCCCTTTCTCCTCTGTCGCCGGTGACCGCCGTCATCTCCGGCCACCTCTGCGCTCCTAAGCTGTCGCAGGCTTTTCGTAGCCGCCCGGTGAGCTCCTCCCTTCCTCCTTTCCTCTCCCCGCGCCGTGCCTTTCGCCGTAGCCAGCTCGCCCGCAAGCCGAGCTCCGCCGTCCGCCATTGCCGTCATAGGGCTCGCCACCGAGCTCCTCCGCTCGAGCTAGTAGCTCCGACGAGATCCTGGAGCGCCGTAGACCTCGCCCAGCTCCTTCGTTCGCCAAAACACGCACTGCAACGCCGATCCCGACGAGGCCCCGAACCCCACCGCCGCCTCCACTCGTCGCCGACGCAGTTCCGGTCACCCCCGCGTCCAACCGACCACACCATGCGGCGCGGCTTCGTCTTCTCGTTCGAACGCGCCAAGTCCCGGGCCAAATGACCCCCTGTGCGCGATTCCCGGCGAAGTCCGGCGAGCCCCGCCTCTGTTTTGGTCGCCGGCGGCGAAACCCCGACGCGGCCGACATGGCACACCTGGGCCCCGCCTCTGGGTCACTGCCCGTGGGCCCCCTGGCCCCAGTTGACCACGTTGACCGTGGTCAACTGTGCTGACTGGGCACACAGCGTCTCTGACACGCGGGCCCCATCGCATATTTTGTTAAATAAACGTTTTTTTTTCTAAATAAAAATGATTAATTAAAACGTTAGTTAAATTAGTTAGTTAGTTAGTGCTAACCAGTCACTGACTGCTGGGGCCCACGCCCCCTAACTAACCCTGTTAGCTTAGTTAAGCCCCTGTTAGACAGAGAGGCTGACAGGTGGGTCCCACCTGTCAGTTTGACTGGTCAGCAGAGCTGACGCAATGCTGACGTCACTGATGACGTCATATTTCCTTTTCTGTTAATATAAATAATTCCAGAATATTGTTTAAACTTTAAAAATTCATAGAAAATAAACCGTAACTCCGATGAAAATGTTTTCTATATGAAAGTTGCTCAGAAAAATCCAACGAATCCGAATACGCGGTCCGTTCATCTGTCACATGCCCCTAGCATGCTGAACATGGAACTTTCCCCCTCCGGTCATCTGTCTGACACAGGTCCGGAACCGGGAACACCTTCCCGGTTGATTTCCCCCTTCACCTATAACGTCTAGGACCGCGTTAGAGCACGCTTAGCGCTACGTATCGTCATGTCATGCTTAGTGTTACCTCTGTTTGCTATGTATTTACTGTTTCTTCCCCCTCTTCTCTCCGGTAGACCCCGAGGCCGCTGATGCCCCGGTGATCGACTACGTCGTCGATAACGACCCCTCCTTGCCAGATCAACCAGGCAAGCCCCCCCTTTGATCATCTCGATATCGCCCATTCCATTCTCTCATGCTTGCATTAGATTTTGCTATTGTTATTGTTTGCTCCTATTCTGATGCATAGCCTCCTTTTGTAACCTGCTTATTGTTACCTTACCGGCTTATCCTAAACTGCTTAGTATAGGTTGGTTAGTGATCCATCAGTGACCCCCACCTTGTCCTTGTTGCCCCTGCTTCATCATTGAAGACCCGATCAACGGGATCGAAGACCAGACCCCGGCACCGCACATCAGTTTCCCCTTAGTTGCTCGACACTACTGGGATACTATCGAGTGCCGAGGGTGAGACCTCTACAACACTTCTGATGTTAACCCTGTAGTGTAGCTATTCGGTCGTGGTCATCGAGGGTGATTTCCTCTTTAACCACTTCCGATACGACTCTGTCGTGCAACCCCTCAAGTGTGAACCTCGAGGGTGATTCCTCTACATTCACCTTGATGATTACATTGAGTGGAACCCACCGAGGGTGATTCCTTGGGTTTTCCTCTTGATGTTTGGACACACGGATACTTGGACTTTACAACTGTTACTTGGAAAGTGATGTGGAGATGGGTTGACCTGGAAGGTGCCCGTGAGATAATTACGAGGCGTGGCCGGGCATTCTTATCCCTTGCCGCAAGTCCTCGAGACGGGGCAACGGGGTCACCTCTTTCGTGAGTCTCTGCTTGTTACCGCGCGTTCCTAATCCACTACGATTTGGATATTTGATCCGAGGGGCCTCTGGCCTGATAGCACTAACCATCACGTGGGCATAGTATGGGCGTTCTGCGTCGTATACATCAGCCAAAGCTTAATAGACGTCAGCGACTGAGTGGCGCGCGCCGGGTTGGACTGCGCAAGCGCCTGCCTTGTTGAAGGAGGTAGCTAGGTCTGCTCACCGGCCGCGTACGCAACGTGCAGGAGTTTCCGGGGAGATGGCCCATGACCCCTGGGGGCATAGGTTTAGTCCGGCGTGCTGACCTCTCTGTTAAGTCTAGGTCGGGTTGCGGCGTATTGTTTGG